TCTATCTTGACAATCTTGCCTCCATCTAAGACTATTTTATTTGATTAACAAGACTCTTAAATTGTAATTAGTTTAAGGATATTTTATTTTATTAATGAAAATCTTAAATTATAATTCGTTTAAGGCTAATAATATCCAAACTCTTATATTATAATTAGTTTAAGGCATATAATAAAGGAACCCTTAAACTAGAATAAGTTTAAGACAAATAATAATTAGACCCTTAATTTGGTAATGTGAAATTATACACTTACATATTTTATATTATATATGCATTGATATGTTTGTCTGTATGCATTGTTATCTTTGACATTGTGGATTCGGTTGGCATTATAATGGTGTCACCGCCAAGGGAAAAAACTTTCAATATAATGCCAACTATAATCACAATGTCAAAGATTATAATGCATACTGACAATTATGTCATTGCATACTTAATGTTTAATAATGATGCAATTTTTCATAGAAAAAAGAATGAATGCAATTAGTTTGAAGTATTTCTTACTTCTACGATGCAGTCTCATTTATAAAGCATTTGGAAGCTAATTAAAAATCAAAATCATATATGGCGAAGCAGAGCACATCAGCGGCTAAGGTTCAAACGGTGCAGTTTGAAGCAGCTGCTCATGGCGGTAGTGACGGAGATTAAAGGGACATCGACATCAATGATGGTAGAGGCGTTGTGTCAGCGGTGGTAGAGGCGCGGTATCAGCGGAGATAGGGGCGTGGCAGCGGTTGGGGTGTCGGCGTTGCCGATAGCGGCATCGCACAGTTGAGCGGTCATTGATGGAAATTTTGTACGGTTGAACAGCATTGGCATGACACAATTGAGCATGGAATGATAAATTAAGTGGAGAAGAGGGTACTCCTACTTCTGGGTTTTATCTTTTAACTCCTATTTTGGGATTTAATCAATGTTTTACTCCTATTTTGCTCCTTAACCCATACAAATATATAAAATAAAATATATGCTTCTCATCTCAAATTAGAATGTATTTTTGAAAACAAAAGATTTTTTATAGAGATTATAACAAAAGAAAATGAAAAATAAAATATTGTGTACAAAGTAAAAATAATAATAGTCTTTTTCTTTAACTCCATATTTTATGGGGCACACCGTGTGCACCCTATTAGATTTGATCATGGTTTAATACACCGCTCTCATTGAGCGATGGAGACTGGAGGTGCATGCACCCTATTATAAATTTGAACTTCTTTATGTTCTTAGGGACTGTTTGACAACTTCTGAATAGGTAAGTGCTAAACCAGTAAGAGGTCTGAACCATTAAGTGCTGAACCAGTAAGAGGTCTGAACCATTAAGAGCTAGTATATTGCTTAACTATTCAGAGGCAAATGTCTGATCAATTTAGATAAGAGCTCTTAACCATTCAAACTCTGTATAATACTTAATCATTCAGAGGCAAATTTCTTAACTATTTAGACATCTGAACCATTAAGAGGCTGAAACAAACCGTCTGAACCATTAAGTGCTGAATCATTCAGACATCTGAACCATTAAAAGGCTGAAACAAACAGCCCCTTAATTTCGTATGTACAATTATGAATTAGACCTTTTTATGTTGTTAATTTGTTATGTTTTTATTACGAAGTTGAATTCTTTATGTTATTAATTTGTTATGTATAATTATGAATTACCCTAGAGTATAACTTTTTTAATTGGTAATTGGTTATGTTTAATTGTGAATTATAAAGGAAACAAAAAATTGTTAATTTGATAATTACTTTTTCAATTGGTAATTTGTTATGGGTTTTTATGAATTACGGAGTACCCCGAGTATAAAGGAAACAAAAAATACTTAATTACATAATTTTTTTACAATTTCGAAATACGAAGGAAACCAAAAAAATTCTTAAATTGATATTTTTTTTTAAATTTTGAAATATGAAGGAAACCAAAAAAATTCTTAATTTGATATTTTTTTTAAATTTTGAAATATGAAAAAAATCGAATTTCATTAATTTTGCATGTACTACATGCGAAATCTTTTTTAAAAACTGGGAAAAAGTTTGAGTGATGAAAGTTTGATGTTGATGTTTTTTTAAATTTCGAAATATGAAAAAAATCGAATATATTTAATTTTGCATGTACTACATGCGAAATTATATTTAAAAATACTGGGAAAAAATTTGATGTTGATGTTTTTGCATGTAGTACATGCGAAACAAAAAAAATAAAAAAAAAAAGAAATTGCATGTTATACATGCGGAAGTTGGAGTGCGAAATTTGGTTCTCCAAAACTTCCCACTGAGGGAATTGCTCCTACACAATACTCCATTCCTCTCCTCTGTAGTAATTTCTACTCGGTACGGAATGATTGATGATAACAAGGAATCATGCTTCCATATTTTTTGTACCTATGCGCCTTATTTTATTTGTTTTTTTAAGAAAAAAATACTTCCTCCCTTCCTAATTTGATTATAAATTGTGGGTTACGGAGTAAAATTTTCTACCTTTTGAAATTATTTTATTTACAAATTGTTATAATAATAAGATATAAAAATTACATATTAGAAAACTACGTCAAAAGTTCTACAAAACAAGAAGTGACAAGAATATTTTATTTTATCAAATACTTAATAAAATCATGTAAACAAATAAAAATTATCAAGAGGAGCGGAAAAAAATTATAATCTATTTAGGAAAGAAGAGAGTAAAATAAAGCAAAGCATCTCCTCCGCAATTTCCTCTTCTTTTTTTGATGAGAAAAGCAAGGAATCTAATCAATCTATTGACAATTGACATATGACATTTGTCACCCAATATTTATTCAATTCTGAATTTTTAGAAATACTAATTTTTTAATACCCATTCCGTCCCATTTCAATTATAAAATAGGAATTACGAGCTAAAATTCTTTTGTTTTTTTAAATTAATTTGTTTACGAATTAATACATCAGTCAGTAAGAAATAAAAATTACATATCAAAAAACTACATCAAATTTTTTTTTACAAAATAGAAGGTGACAAATATTTTATTTTATCAAATAATCAATGAAAACAAATAAATAAACAAAAGTTATCGAAAAGAGTGAGAAAATAAAATAGTAATAAAAAATAGAATGGAGGGAGTACCAATTTTATCTAATTCGTAGTTAAAGTTCGTTAATATTGAGTATAAAAAGTCAAAAATCAAAACTAGTTAAATACTTAAGGATAAAGTACTCCCTTTTTTTAGTGCAAGTACTCCCTTTTTCAATTGCATTGTTTGGTTGGCCGGATTTAGGGATGCGCGGGTGAGATTAGACCATGATTGTATATTGGAGATGCATTCCAATACGTTTCAAAATGTATCAGGAGTTATGATGAGTGGGAATCGTAAAAATTTTCGAATGAAATGAGGGAACTAGTGGTTAATCTGCTGCAGAGTAGTCCCATCCTTGAAGAAATCCATCACTGCTTTAGTTACCAGTTCCCCAACCACTTCCCATTGGTTTTGGAAGAAACCACTACTACAGCCATCTGGACCTGGGCTCTTACAACTAGGGATATCAAATATACATTTCTTCACTTTCTTAACAGAGACAGGGCCAATCAGATTGAGCTGTTGGTCAACAGATAAGACCCCACCTTCCTTAATAATATTCAGATTAATGTCCTCAGTTCCTTCTGTTTTACCAAATAAATTCTAAAAATTAATAAAGTTACATTTATTAATTAAAAAAATTACATTCATTAAATAAAAATTTACATTTATTAATAAGGAATTACATTTATTGACAAAAAATGTACACGGTGCGATAACGAGAAATGAGGGAAGAGGGCTGCATCGGCCTAAAATTTGCATCAAAAATTTGACGCTGCAAAAATAACGGTGCTATAAGGGGGGCGTTAGAGCATCTCCAACCACAATTGCTAAACAGGGCTTGCTAAAGTCATTTTTTAGCATGTGAATAGTAGTATAGCAAGCCATTTTGCATTGTCATCTCCAACCTTTCCTTGCTATAATTTAGCTAACAATTATATTATATTGTTTTTACTATTATAATACACTCTTTATAATAATTATTCAATTATTATTTTATATTATAAAAATTTAGTAATAAGTATGTAATTTAAAAATAATAATTTCAAAAAACAATACGGAGTATTATTTTACGTACTTTAGGGAAAATAATAAAATATACGGAGTATTATTTTAAATATTTAATAAATACCAATTAAAGAGTAGAGA